AACGAGCCGTATATCGCGTCGCGTAATCGTCAACGAGAAGCGTTCCTCGAGATAATCCAACGAAATATCAAGCGACTTCGCTCGTACAAACTAAGCGGTTCTTCTCTTTCGTTTATTTAACGTCCGAATTTTTCGCGTTAATCGCATTTGCCGGGATTTAAAGAAGCGGCGAGGAACAACAGAAACTGTTTTTAATTATGCAAACGGCTCGGTAGTAAAGCTATCATCGTCCGACGTGCCGCGGCGGAGCTATTTTCAGGCTATGTTTTTTATCACGGAAATCGATGGCCTTATTATTTCTAACTCGAAAATAACGGCTATACGGTATTATTCATATTATTCATTATCATGTCGCTGTTACTTATTGCGCGCAAAACTATTTCTTTAATTCCTAATATATTCCTAATATTCGATCGATCCCCTTATTGAATAAAATCACGTAGTCCGCGCGCATAACTCAAGCGATTCGCCCAGCGCAAAGAAGCGACCAATTATAAATTCAGAACGGAAGCGCAATTTATTGCACCGCTGGCATTAAATCCGCGAACGTCGCTACATATATGAATCTATGGTCGTTCATAATAATCCACACAGCGACGATAGGGGACATTAGACGTACTATGTATGTATTATTATAGGAATAATTATTAAACCCGTTATTTCTATATATTTCGTTCCAGAACCTCCGCTACTATACTTAAGGAGAAACTGAGGTCGTGATATGATTAAACGGTGGACGTACTTCTATTTCTCAAGTAGTATGACTCAAGGGCTGGTTGGACGTACTTTCCACTATAATAAAACATAGGCGAAATTTCACGGGCTGTAACTTTCGCAATAATGATGCTATCGAGATCGTTCGAGAAAGCACATTAAAGCTTGAAGTCTCTAGTTTTTAATCACATTAGATATATTAATATTGTCCCTAATTTTCGCCAAGATATTTCGAGTTAAACGAAAAATGGCGACTGCTCAATTTTAAACTTCGTCTTTCAGTTGAACTTTCAGAGCGAAAAATTATTTTCGAAAATGTGATACAGGCGTTTTCAAGAGAAAATTTAAAACTTTTTTACGTATTTGTTAACGAATGTCGTACACTCGGTCAAATTACATATATATAAGCTGTAGGCATAAAGATAATAGAGCAATATATTAGTTACATACGCTATAATACAAGAAAATTAAAACTGAACAATTATATTTATAAATTATATCATATTTTCCCATGTTAAATACGCGTAAACCCGACACATTCCAAAAACAATCGGTCGGTAAATCGTGTCAGTAAAAAAGAAGAAGAAAAGAGACATCACGTTTTATTCATATCATATCAATTCATCGCGCAAATCATAGCCGTGAACGGAAAATTATAAGCGTCGTATATTTTTCGGGCTCATTCCTTAACGATGTAACCGTGTGAAAGGTGGTGAACTCTCGATCGGCTGATATTGCTATCAATAGTGATTTTCATATTCGCAAAAGAGAGAAAGAGGAAAATGAGTGCGTATGTGTGTATACGTGTGTGTGATTGTGTGATGAGCCGACAACCGGTTGACTAGATAGATCCTTCTTAGTATCCGAGACACGCTTCCAACAGTTCCACCGGAATTTCCGATCAGTTTTTCATCCCTCCGGCGAGGGAAAAATTTTCGCGATCGAGAGAACGGAATTGGCGCGTCGGCGCAAACAGGTAAGAAGAGGAAGGAAGAGAGAAGAAAGAGAAAGAAACGGGAAGCTTCAGAGAGACACATGGAATGACGAGGAAGGAAGAATCGCGTCCGCAAAGAAAATTTCGCGCTCCATGGCATACTGATCCCTTTTGACGTGCAACTTCGTCGCGGGGATTGTACGGCCCCCTATATTCTTCTCCTCTCTCTTTGCCGCATCTCGCCGGCGGAGGTCGCCCGGGAGAGAGTCCGGGGAACTATCGCTGACTCGATGAAAGTCAGGATTACCTGCGCAAGTGCTCCAATTCGTCTTCGGTCGTAGAACAATCGAGTCTGCAGCGTGCCGGCTTTACGTCCGCGCCGCTCTCGAAATCGAACTTCTGTTGGCGCTACGTGACGGGCCTCACCAAGGGGAAAAGTCTATATTCGGCGCGCCGAATTTTTCGGCCCGATCCGCTTCTCATACATCCTACGGCCTCGCTACAACTCGAACGATCCTACCCGTGTCGATAACCCGGAAATACATCACTATAGTCGAGAGAAGTGATATTTGATACCTCGTTGGAATATTTTCAAAGAATCATCCGTCCGTCGTGTGCATGAATTAAAACGGTGTATTTTCCGTCCCGTGTATTGCGTCGATCCAAGCGGGAACGGAAATTATACACACGCGTTTTCACACATTTCTGGAGGTCCGATTTTTTTCAATAGAAATGTCGCGAAATATCTGATTCCGCTGAATAAAAATAGAGAGAGAGAGATAGAGAGAGAGAGAGAGAGAGAGAAGGAGGATAAAGGGTAGAGCTACACACAAGATAACACGAGAGATACCTGCTCGCTCTTCCATCAGAAGAAAACGTTTTTCTTATTCGAGCATTTTGTAGCTTCTCTTATTCTACCGCAGCTACTAGAAAAACGATCAAAGTCTAAAATGAGCAACGCGGCGTCAAAGTATCAGTCGCATTTTTCAAACAAAGATTTATGAATCCTCGTTTGTACCAAAGGATGACGCAGTTAAAGTGCATGTATGCGAGAGAGAGGGGTGGGGGAAGAAAACAAAATAGTGTGTAACAAAACGGTCCTTTGTTTCTCTTGCCCTCTCGAGACTCGACACCTCTCGTGTCTCAACATCTTACGTTCGATCTTGCAAGCGGTCCGTAAGCTGTCTGCTTACCGGGGGTGCTGCTGCATCCCGTGGTACAAACCCGGAGAAACTCGTCGTCGTGAGTTAGCGTCTAAACTTCGCGATTCTCGAGACACGAACGAGCAACGTGACTTTCTCTATCGTCGTACCGCCGCGCGAAATCTTACTCTTCCGCTGTCGGCTCTCCGCCGCACTACTCCCGTCTTTCTCCACTTCGCCCCTGGCTTGCGAGTACGTGTAAGGATACTCGACGCGCGAGACAATGTCGGATCGTGCCACAAACTTCACCGGCACCATGAAACCATAGAAATTATCATTAACAAAGTTGAAAGTACATTACGTTCTTATCGCTCGATTCTTATCACTCAGATAAGAAACAAAGTAAATGTAATAATCCGGTGAGGAAGAGAGAGAGAGAGAGAAGAACGTAAATTTTGCACTCTTTTCTATACGAAAAATATCTCATCTTACTCTCAACATTTCTTGGGGCGAAATCTTGCTCGAAAAATGGAGTGACCAAGTCACGAATTGAAACGACTTGTAACTCTTATGGAATAAATTTTCCTACTCTGCGTCGTGGAGTGAGTATTTTCACTTTGTACAGTGAAGTGAAATTCCCTTCGAAAAATGAAGTTACTCAAATTGATCGTGTTTGGAGTAACTTTTCACTCTTATGGAGTAAATTTCTTCACCTCGCACATTGTGGAATGAATATTTTCAATCCGCATCGAACTTACCTTCTAAATTTCTTGGAATGAAATGTCACTTGGAAAATGGAGCGACAGTCAAGTCGCTCGAATTGAAGTAACTTTTCACTCTTGGAGTGACTTTTCATGAAGTGAAATTTTACTCAAAAAATAGAGCGACTACTAAATCACTCAAGTTGGAATGACTTTTCACTATTACGGACTAAATTATTTTATTTTCGTGAAGTGAAAATATTTATTTCACAAAAATACCGAATATACACTTCGTTCTAATTTAACTTAACAGTGTACGTTATAAGCAAAAAGCCTTACTGTAATCCTCGTATCGTACCACATTGAATGTTTCTACTTTCCACTCCAATTTAAAAAATATTATTAATAACATTTAAGAAAACTTTATCAATTTACGTAGTAATATTTTATATTTCTATTTTTAAATATAAGTAGAATCTTGTAAAGGACTACATATAGACAATACGAAATAATCAATCAAGACGAGAGATAACGTAGTGCGAGTTACAGCTGACTCATAATCTTAGAATACTGAGTTTGAACCAGTAGCAAACGATATTTTCCAATAAAATATATAATAAACAGAATCGATTGAATAGCACATAATTGAAAAGATTCTAGGTAAAATCATTGATAACACCTTAAGAAAACAATTCAATAAAAATAAATGCCTATTTCACGTGCTGAAGAGAGTGCGAATTAGAATTCGCTCTTTTTTGAAATGAAACATTCACTTCATGGTTGGAATGAAACATTCACTCTTGTGAAAAGTGGGATGTCACTTCAGCCCAGAATGAATTCGTTTGGGATGAGATTTCAGAAATTTAGAGAATATGATTCTCGCGGAACCGTGTTGAAGAACATCGCTTTCGATCATCAAGTTGTGGCGGCATCGAAAGTAAAAATATCAACCCGAGGCGCGTCCTGACTTCGTCTGTTGCGGCAGTAAATGCATATTTACGCTGATACCGGTCGGTTATTGGCAGGCTGGCTGAATGTCGATAACCTGAGCGATGGCCCAAAGCGGGAAAACGCCGGCGAATCGATTAAATAAAGTCACGAGTTACGATCGGCCGCGACGGGTGGAATGCAAAAAGCGATGGCAAAACCGCCCGGGTGTAATATGTAAATAAATGTGACGCGCAATGTGGCGCCGTAAACAGCGGTGACAATTCGAACGAGTCCACTACTACTAGCCAGCCGTATTTGATTTGTGCGCCGTTGTTTGAAATATTAAATGATACAGCGCACGACAATCCGCCTATTTGTTATATTACGCAGTATTCAGCGACCTATTTATTGACTAATACGAATCCAGTTATTAATTTATGCCAATTTGCACACGAGAAAGAGGGACAACGCTCGTTAAACGTGGAAACAAAATAAAATAATGCGCACTCTTTGGTCGCGATGTTTTACGATCGGAATTATATCCAAATAATTGACATTTTTGTATAAATTCTGTTGCAGAACTGCCTCTGGCGACGGAGCCGGTTTCTACAAAATCGACCACGGCGGCGAAGCGATCCGTGCCGACGGACGCCCCGATGTTGAATTACATTTTCGACGCGCACAGCACTCTGAACAAGCATCAGCATCACCATGATCACAGATGGGGCCCTCACTTCGAAGGCGAGAGCTCCAACATCACGGTGCAGGCTGGTGCTAGCGTCACTCTCGATTGCAGGATATCCCTGCTGCAGGACAAAACCGTAAGCGCGCCCGATCATGATGTTTGCTCCTTCATTCTCGCGTTAATCGTATACATCTGGTCGGTCGTCACCCGTTACGAATTCATAGCGCCATAACTCACGCCTGATCTCGCCTTATTATGGCCCAGCTAAGCTACGTTTAGCTTATTATGATTAATCTGCCGGGCCGGCACAAATTCTCGTACATTTTATACTTCAAGGAACAAATTTAAGGAGAAATTCGCATAATCTCTGTCGGTCGTTTGCACGCATAATCTGTACGTAATAATTCAACGGCAAATCCGAATAATCCTGCGTTTCGTTAGAAAACTTCGCACAAAGTTTCCACCCGCGTTTCTCTTTTCTTCACTTTTTTACTTACTCAATATCGCGCGCATTAAACTCTCGGCGTGCGCGAATGTTTTTTACCGGCGCGAGAGAAAAAAGTTGGGCGGAAAACGATGATATTTAATTGCGGGACTGATTTGATTAGAAAGCTACGTCGCCAACTACCACCACTGTGTCCATTCTGAACGGGCATTTATTGCCCCTCCCCCGTTCCTAATACAGTTACTAACCATTCCCACATTATCCATACCCCAGACTATAGAACAAATTATGTGGTCAGATATCGGTTATGTGCGCATGAATCTCCCTGGCGTTCGAACAGATAATATCCTGTTACCTGGCAGCAATTCATAGCTACAGCTAACCAATATCGCGAAATGCGCATTATATTAAATTAAATATTTGTGCAAACGCATTTCTACGCATGCGATATCGCTCGTCAAGCCTTGCGAAAGCGCAGCTCAGCTTTTTTATTAAATGAATATTAATTTAAATCGCGTTTGTCACTATTCCCTGGGAGAATGCATAATTCCGCTCAAATTAAGGAAACGCGAGATTCATATAATTCGATAATATTCAACACGTCGGAACTCATCAGTACGAATGGAAACGCATTGCTTTTGTCTACCTTTCGTGCACGAGTAGAGTAAACACGAACGAACTTCCGCGTCACGAGAGAAGCAAAAGTCGATGTTAACTTACATCCTACCCGAAATCGGGCAACCCGATAGATACGCACGAATATCGCCGATAATGCTCGATTAGCTCTCACACAGATATCCATGCGGAAGATGCGCGATACCATGCGATTTAAACGCCATTCCTCACTGTTTAATATAAAGGCAAAATTTCGACGAGTGAAAGCCGATGTTTCGAGCTGCTCTTCAGAAAGATTGTTTCTCGCAGGTGTCCTGGGTACGTCGGCAGGAGAGTGGCGGCAAGATGAATCTGCTGACGGTAGGTCAGCACACATATACGGGCGATTCGAGGTACACCATCGAGTTTCAGTACCCGGACAACTGGCGTCTGCGTATCAAGCGCGTTAACAGTAGCGACGAGGGCCAATACGAGTGTCAGATCAGCACCCATCCACCCAAGTTCATTCACGTCAATCTACACATTAACGGTAAGTAACAATAACAACTAACGGCTCTCACCTAATGTCAGGAACCGAAACGGGAAAGAGAGGGAGGGAGGGAGGATCTCTTAATTTACACACGAGACATAATCAAGAAATTGGACTTCAATCTTGGAAGTGTCATTTGTGGATTTTCCTAAATGGACACTTGCTACAATTGTTCTTAAAAGAAGCACTTAAACCTCCTCTTTTATTTACATCTCTCCTTTGCCTGCTTAACGCCTTCTTGTCCCGACCCTTTTCGATGCCGCATGACCGAGTTCAGAACGAACGAATTTAATGTAGCGTGACATTACGACAGGTGGAGGAAGGATGTAAAGGAGACTAGATAGTGAGCGAACGATTGTGATGTAGATCCTTTACATCGTCTGTCAAACGAAAGATCGCTCGGCAAAACGCAGGAAACCCGTATTCCCTTAGCAATGGCAGGAGTGTTCGAAATAAAGTCGCGCATATGTACGTGTGCACACGAAAATAAATGTAGCGAATTGTGAGGGATCCAAGAATATCGAGACACTGCAGCCGTGAACAACTCTGTGAGAGGTCCTTTTGTGTCCGCCTTCAAAATCTTCCTTCGAAATGCCATTTATACCGACATAGATTAATTAAAGAATGAAAAAAGAGGGGCGATATGTCTTCGATGTATGTTACGATCCAATATTCCGGCGACACGCAGTAGACGAGAAAATGAAGAAGAAGAAGAAGAGGCAAAGCTCAAATCCCAGAATAGTTCGCTAGCAGTCGGGTAGCAAATTGGCTTCATTCGCTTAGAAAGATAATTGAAAACGAAGTGCCCCGAGATGGACGGTTTATAAAGAAAAGAAAGGGAAAGAAGACCCACGATCATCTCTTCGTTTGGTTTGTCAGAACGACGCGCCGCAAAGCGGAAGGACTACATCCCGGGCACATCCGGAGAATCTGACAGTGTGCGCCGAGCCATTCGGTGGAACGAAACGAGGAGCCGAAGCGAGACAACGGAAAGATGGTAAACGCCAGGAAAATTTTAATAAATGCGCAGGCGAGAAGCCTGCCGTGAAATTGCGTAATTTTACAGGCTAACGGCGAACGCCGCAACAACTTGTAAAAAATATCGAAGAATAATAAATCGAAAAAATAGGAAGGTGTCTCAGATATAAACGACTATTTAATTCTCTTTTTCTCGTTATATAATAAATCTGTGTCCCTGTGCATGCTGTAACAAGTGTAAACATATTTAAGTTTGCACCGAACCGAGCTTTTCTCATCTCACCAATCAAAGATCATCACGATGCGACGTGTCGAGTAATGTTACACAACGATTTAATGTTGAATTTCTCACGAACGAAGGGATCAAATCTTGTGAAATTTTGACCAGACTTTGAACACAGTTTGAGCATTAATGTTTGTCACAATTGGGCAAAATCATTCTGAAGAAGAAGAGGCCGTGTAGAAAATAAACTTTGTCCTTGGCGTTAAAAACTTCTGTTAACTCTGACAATATTTCAAACAGTGATGAGATAATTCGGAGGACTCAGAAAACTTTCAGAAGATGGAACAAGTGTATTTCAGTTAACACGACATTGAAAAATAATACGTGTAATATCGTGATTGTGCTATAAGTCACATTTTTAGATTCAACTTTTCTTACTGCTATTTGAAGTATTCACGTAAAAGCAAAAATAATCCAAATCCAAAGAGTCAAGAGCAAATCCAGAAAGTAATGCCTACTGTGCACAGATTTATACTAATTAAAAAAGAGAGATCGAACCAATTTCTACGGGGGAAAAATACGACGTCATGCTGGTTTCGTTCTCGCCAAATCGCATAAAACTGCAAGCTCGCGGTAAAAAGGATCGGTTTTCTCTTTTACTTATTTCCTGATCCGCGCTTGCTGCGATCCGGTTTTGCTGATGTAAGATTATATCGTAAGCTTTCGCTCCCAACGGATGAGATGGTGTAGCTTCTTCGTGTTATAGCGGGGAATCTTCTAACGCGAGTTCAAAGGGATTATCTGCTTAACGTTCCCCGCATTTATTCTCCTCCGCCATTCTTCCATTTCTGTAATTTGTCAAAATCATTCTTCCGGCTAGCGCGCAACGTTTGTCGATTGACTCGGAAAAGTGCGGTTTGCCTCGCACGGTACAACAAAGTAACAAATTGTTGGGACGAAGTGAGAGAAGTAGAAAGGGATAAAAATAGAAGGAAAGAATCGTAAATGATAATAACATGGCATTTAGATATTCCATCCAAAAGACGCGATCGCGTTCATAATGAACAATTAATAACACTTTAGCAATTGACACGAATACAATTTATATGTATATACCATCAACTTTCCGGGAGGCTATTAACGAGGTGTGAGGATAATTTACGTATCAGCAATCCAATCGATACACCGTGCAATCATAAATTGCCACGCGAAGAAGAACCCGGCGCGAGTAATCTCGGCCGAACGGCATTTCTGGGCGTTGTCGGGTTGACGAAAGCGACGATCGCGCTAAGACGGGCGCACGTAAAGCGAAGGATCAACACTTAATCCGAGAACGGGGGAGGCTGCACGAGATAAAGTAGCCGAGAGTTTGGTATGCAGTGCCACTTCCTCGACCTCCACCTGCCGTCCGTCTTCCTACGTCCTCTCGGCGTCGACCTCTCCAGCAATTTAGTCGACGCGTGTCCTTTCTGTCAGAACGTTAATAAAAGGAAAGGGGTGAGTGAGTGAGAGTTTCACGGGTATAAATCACTACTTAATTTGACCTTTAGAAAAATTCAGGAGCAATGTGACGAGGAAAATTGTATTCTTATAGAATCGGTCGTAAGAGAAGGATGAAGTTTTGAGTTCGCCGCTGGGATCCTATCGTCCAGCTTACTCAGAAGAACTCTGCGACAAAATAATAATATGGAGATATATTTTCGCTCAACCGACATTCTTTTTAACTGTTAATCGCAAGTGAGAAACTCCCAGAGTGGAAACTTTTCTGCTATTTTGTTATTTTGACGCTCTTAAAAATAGTTTGCGCCTATTTAAATAACCTATATACTGATAGAAACTTATTTTGACACTTGTTAACTTTTTTTCGATTATTAAATTTGCGAGTATTCAAGATAACTTATTTTCATGTAAGAAACAGTAAGGAAACGAAAATTGTAAAATATCATAATGAAAATAAGAGTAAATTATATCATTAAAATTGAACTTATTTTGCTACTTTAGCTCCTATTGTGTTATAGAACAAAAGGTTTAACAATTTCGACTCGGATCCAATTTCGCTGTAAGCAATTTCACCATCCCCGGAATCTTTTCCTTGTTTTGTTCACGATTAAAAATTGTCTCACCGTAACAACGTCAAACGCAACGCATGCACGGGAATCAATGAGAGATATATTCGAAAGCTCACAGTTGTGCTTTTTTCAATACCGGTTTCTTCGTTCGTAACAAAACACGCCTTGCACAAGCGCTAACACGGAATTATCAAGTGAGAAGTGTAAAACTCTCGGATGAAATAAAAAATTAAAAAATATATACACATTTCCACGACAAGAGCTCCCCTTTGGGGAGATTTTTTTTAGTATATCACCTTACGGAAAAGCATGCGGAATAAAATGCGGCAGACGGGGAGGAGAAGAGGATGACGCAAAGAAAGAAAGAGGAAAAGAGACGGGGAAAGGGAACGAAGATTGTGCGCATGAGAGAGATTACATTTCGCGTGGTATTCATGAGGTCGAGGAGAGAGAACACTCTGATCTATCTCCAAAACGTTTCCCTTTTTCGTGATTTCTTTTGGCGGCCGTACATTGCTCGCGATGTATAGCCGTACGCGGGCGCACGGCAAAGGCACCAATTGGAAACGGTCCAATGCGACGGAAGACGACGATGGAGATAGTGGCTCGATCGCGTTGGACATCCGGGAAGGAAGGGCACGCTCGATTGTGTGGACGAATATGGGAGATATTTATTGGGCCATAAAGTTAAATATTTGAAACTGAATTTTCAATGTAATCCACGCCCGCGTATACGGCCAAATTTCATGACGCGCGTTCTCTGCGAACCCAGCATATAGCAGTGATCCTGTTAAAATAAGGATCTTTCAAGTAATTACTATAAGACGCGATTATAGCGTTAACGATAACGACGAATACGCGTAATGACGATTACATCTCTTAATGTCTTCCCACGAAAAGGACTTATTGATCCAAAAGATTCCCCGATCTTCAAACCCGATCATTCTAGACGATTAATTTCCTCGACGCCTGGTATAAAACCTGTTTCCTCGTTGCGATGCAAATTAATCCTTGCTAATACGATCTAATTTAATGTATCGCGAGCACACGAGGAAAGCGAATCGTGAGAACACAAGAAGACAATTTTCATTAATGGAGATTCGTTGTTAGTGGATTAGAGAGGACACTGCCGCATTGATGTCGCAATAATAATAATAGATTGATCTTCCCGCGAGGATGTAACAGCGAGCGGAGGGAAATTAGAATGTATTTTATTATATTTTCCTTACGAAGAGTCTAATGAAAATAAAACGCGCGGAAAATAGTTGGGATAATTAAACGGAAGGTACTTTAGAGCGGGGAATTATTGCGATATCGCGCATAGCTAATTAGTTAGAGCATATTTTCGGGTAATTGCGTCCGGTAGAGAAGGCTCGTGAGCCTTTGATAGCTGTATCGTCTCTTTAAAGTATGTGCAATCTTCGGCAACGAAAGTTTTCAAGCAGATGAGCAATATATACCTCGATACGTAACGTATCATGTACTATCCGCAATGCTGCAATGTTTAAACGGAAAGTACTTTTACCTCAATATGGTGACTCCGTAACTTCTTCTAAGAGGATGGGAACTTTAGGTCGAAGACGCGCTGGAAAAGCTCCAAGCTAGCTACGACACGCCCAATCTTTTCCTCGTCGATTCAAATTACAGCTTCGAGGAAGCGGATGCTTATTACGCGTATTAGATGTAGCACCCTCGGGAAATGCGCTACGAGACTTTATTGTTATCACGAAAATCGATATATTATTATCGTAATAATCTTGTCAGTTACACGATTCTGATATTACCTGGCATCAATTTTGCGGCAAAGACTATTTAAGAAAGATATCAAAATAATACGCAAAATTCTGAATAAATGGTAATATCCTGCATAAAAATTTCCCATATATGTTATCCCAGATGTTAAAACATCTTTAAATCGTCTCTAAGAATCTTAGAGATACATCTTATGTCCCGATTTAACAAACAGATATATCTGATCAAGTGTAATGTCCGAACAAGTTGCGCTTTTTATCCGATGAAAATTATGACTAATTTTCCGATTAGGTAACTGCGTTTTATCGGATAAAGGTACTTAACGCTTGATAACAAAAATAACAATCGGACACATCGTTTAATCGATTTGTCCGATGGAAATTTTTCTCAGTGTACACTCTTCTAATCGGAATCTGCGCAGATTTCCTAATTAGAATCTATTTTGGGAAAAATCAGACTCAATCAATTAGATCCCAAGAGATTTTCTATGTGGGATTCGAGGCGAATTTTTGCTCGGAATAAATTCAGCATCGGGGACTGCTTATTACGAATGAAAAAAGGAAGCGCAGAATAGCCGCGACATAAGTATCGTAGATGAAAAATGTCGGTTTTTTTTTATTATACACACGGATTTCCCGCTCATGATCTATTAAGAATTAGCGTTCGCCCGATTCATTCTCAGCGCACGACATCTTGCTGGTCGGCGTTAAGCTCGTTGATAACTCGTTGATTTTTGTTCTGACACTTTTAACTGAATTTCAGCACCGTCCGTCCAAATAGTGGACGCCCTGGGCGAGCCACTGCGGGACAAGTACTACGAGGCTGATAGCACTATCGAGCTTCTGTGCGTCGTACGGCATATAGCGATGCAGGTGCAATATAGCGTCGTCCAATGGCTGCACGGCAACAGAATCTTGAACTACGATACGACGAGAGGTGGTATCAGGTAATATGAGCCTTCAAATATGATATTCTTTTTCAGCCTGAGAGAAATCCAAACGTTTTTAACTAATTGATATCGCATTTTATTTCGTTTGATTTAAATTTGTTGTATTAAGGGAGTCTTTCTGGTCTCTGTCCGAAAGTTAATCAAAGAGACTTTGAAACTTAATGGCTCTATTATTCGAAATCCGCTCGAAGTCGTTCTACCTCGAAATGCTTTTCGGCAAATATGAGGAACGCATAATCTAAGCGGCAGACAAACTTGGTGCGGTTATGCGCGAGCAAAGTGTAATTAATTCAGGAAACTTTTCCTTGTTTGACGAGCATTTACGTGCAGTTGAAAGACTCTATGTCAACTGGCAGAAATGGCCTGGCAGAAAGTCAAATGTAGATCGTGCGCACGTAATTCTCTCGTTTCTTCCGTACGTTTCGCCGTGGGGAGGGGGGNGGGGGGAGGGGTGAGGGGAGCGTTTCACGAAGCGTTAAAAAATACGACTCGCGCTTTCATCGCTCGGATTATATATTATTATAGATTCCTGCAACTTCGCGGGAAACAGTAGGATTTCAAGGGGCTGATTCTGGAGCGTAAGAATTCATTATCCGCGATCCGTAATAATAGCGAAGAGAGATTCTCGCCGGCTCGTTCAGCTGTCGCGCTGAATAAAATTCAGACGGAAATAAGAAAAAAAAGATGGCTACGACACGCCGTCGTATTAAGCCTCGTTAATATATAGTTCGCTTCATGTCACGGGTCAATGAGATATGGATATAAAACATTCCATTATGCGACCTATTCCGGTCGCCTCATTCAAGTCGAGTCTGAAAATTTCGCCAAAGCCTGTGAAAAAAAAACACGAAAGGCGAAATCCCGCGAAATTTCGTTCCATTTACACGTTGTCGCGTACTCGCGTTTTTCTCGTCTCGTCGCTCCGATGTCGCTTTGTTAAGTGTGATAAATGATGTAATCTATCATTTTGAATAACGTTCGCAGCTGCGATTTCGAAAGAACGAGGTGGAACAAAAGTTTGACGTCCGCATTCTAGTTATTAGTAATGTTCCTCTGTCTTCGGTATCCTGTTTATATTACCGCTATTAAAAGCTGTCAAATTTCCAAATTTATAGAGCAGAATTATCCGCTTGGTCGGAACAAAATTTATAGAACATGACGAAAGAGAGAAGAAAGAAGCGAACGGTATTTTATGGTAAGAGCTATCTCTCTTGTATTTTATACCTTATACACCTGTTAAAAATATACACGTGAGAAAAAACGATAAATATTACAGCGGCTACCGAGCACGCTTTTGAAAAAACATTCATGAAATGCGGCAAATTTATAGTTTTACTAAAATATCTAGCAACGCTGATTTAGAACGGAGAATGTCATCACTTCCGATATGCCTTCTCGCTCTCACGGATAATGCAAGAACCCCCGAAGGGGTCGAAAATACGATGACGGTGGAGTGCTCATACGGAGTACACGGTGGTTGTTGACAACAGTCACGAGAGTTAGACGGCGTGTCGACGAGAAAGGCTGCTTTGCCGTGTTCGGGAGGCCAGTTTTCGGTCGGGACCGTCGCTTCTGTGGGCCCGCTCTCTGATAGTAAAGTTAGGCGCTGCTGAGACACGGCGGGACGGTAAATGAAATTAGCTTGCGTTACGCGCTTCTGTATACACGGACGGCCATACATACAACCAAGGTGGTGGGTGTCCCATTGCGAAAACAGAGTAACGTCGTTCCCTCTGCACGCACAGAGCTAAATATTCTCCGCTCAAGATGCACTGGGATATTATTTAACTTCATTGAAAAACTAGTTGAATAAATCAGAGGGAAAGAGGAAGAAGGAGTATTTAGACCCGCGGTCTAAAGTTACAGAAACAGATCTGCAGTCTAAATATTACCTTTCTCTTTCTTTCTAACTTATTCAACTGGTTTTTCAATCTCTTAAGGTATACACAACGATGGTATAGAATGAATATTTTGGATACCTAAATCAAGCAGTATCCATATCTGATTAGATACATTGAAACTGCAAAAAAAAAAGCAATCAAGGAACCCGTGTAAAAATTTAAAACCATTATAATGCTATTCAGTGCATTAAACGAAAAGTTAAAAAATAAAACATATTTTTTCGGTAAATAAAAGAGAAAGGGGTCAGTAGACAATGCCGGTCACCTCTATATCTCGGTCGTATGAATTAAGTTCTGTAAATTTTCGTTCTCTGAAGGGCCGAAGGAAGCATCAGACAAAACACCGCTATCTTAGCATTGTTCACGGCTGACTTGTTGCAAAAAGTTTGTTTCGTCGTTTTATGATGTAAGAAGGATCGCTGCTAAACAAGCGTGGTGAATCATTTATTCGTGCAAAATTATTACATTATTTCCCGTAATATGGCTCAAACCTTTTAATACATTGGTTTCCTAAATTGACGGATCTTTACAACATGGTTAATCTACTTGTGAGAACATATCATTTGAGTAATGCTGGTCACTCCGTGCTGGAACGGCCGAGATTTAAAAGATATGTTGTCTTTGTGTTTCAAACAATTGAACTTCAACTAAGACGTATTACTTGTGGTGCAAAACTATAGTAGAGAAGAGAAAGAGAGAATTTGTTTTCGCAAATTCGAGTGCTTGTTCTTTAAGTTCTCTGGAATAAACACAACCTCTGGATTTGCACCTCATCATTTTTAACGTGTTTTAATCTTTCCGCCACACTGGGAAAATTTGTTGTCCGCGCACCGTTTAGTGTTTAACTCATGCAAATTTATCCCGACTTGCACGCTCGCCCTCAGATATTATTCCATCTTCCTTTCTCTAGTTCGTGGGACGTATGGCCCTGCGCGGACCGTATCGCCGCATGAAGCCGCTACAGTGCCACGGCATTCGCTATTTTTCTCGGCATGGCGTAGCTGTAGCTTGCAGAGCAAGCGAGAATTATTGCTATCTCGCTTAATCTAACCTTTCGTTTAATTAATCACCCAACGTTGACCCGGCTTCCCATAATTTAACGACGCGTCGCTGATGGCTTCGCGCTTTTCAGTACCCCATTGTCGGCTCACTCTTTTTACATTCGCGCAAAAAGAGCGAACAACGTTGCGGTATTCCGGGGGAAACTTTCGTTGGAAATCGGAAAAAAAAGACGGGACTTCTGAGCGAGAAATTCCCACTTTTTAAATGATACCTATTTAAAATTGTACATTCGGCGACGTCGAAATTGGGACGGTATTTCAAGGTGCGAGAAGAAGAAAAAATTACTCTTCTGATTATCATTCCTCGTCTTGTTTTCTTCGCTAAATTACGGTGTCTCACGTTAAAGCAAAGCCCGTTTTACTTCATCGTAATCTTTAACAAACGCATGTATCGACGTTCCGCATACGTATGCATACATCCTGTAATTAGTCGTCGCTAAAGTAACAATATAACAATAGTCCGGGAATTAACAGTTAATCGAACCGACCGCGAATGCTATCCAATTTGGAGCCAATGTGACAATTAATTTATCGCGCTTAACATCGCATTTAATCGCTGTTAAATTACGCTGGAAAGACTCTTGACGGCGCGATGCTCATTAAAACGAAAGGGAGCGTTACATGGCGGAAAATAGCATTTTATGCGGTGTCAAATTACATTAAATTTTCGGGGCCGTAATTAAACTTCCGGCTGCGACGACGACGTAACGTATTACAACGACGATAGTAATTCACAAAGCCCACGTAGCTGACCGGCGTTAAATCGATTTTCCGCGCCGTCGAATTAACGTTGTGTTTACGATCTATCTTAATTTATCCGGAATATGGGTTTAGCTCGGCCCAATCTTCGCCACGATGAAGGGGCCGTATCGCTCTCGACCGATATATTAATTATTTTTCCGCGTTCCCCGTTTATTAAGCGCGATATGAAATTAAAAGAAAACGAAAGATATACACCCGCCGTGAAGTGTCGAACGAAATAGAATCTTCAAATCAGATTGTTTCGCTTCAAATTCTACATTATTCAAACGCACCGAAGGCCGAGAGAAATCAAAAGGATCGTGTTAGAATTTCCTTCGTATAAAAATATCACGAGATCACTGATAGAAAATTATAGTTATTTCAAGGGCCGAAGCTTCCTTCCTTCTTTATATCTCTTCGCTATATCGTATATTGTCGATCTTGGGTATCGGAAGAATCTCGCTCGGCGTTCTTCCAGCGCGAAGGCTTTCTATAATCGTCGTTCTTCTGTTATATTCTGAGTTTGACTCGACCATTAACGTCTACCCCTGAATTCTGATATATTTAATTTTGTCCGGATTCTAATGCCGCGCCCTATAGCAGTAGATATCCAAACAATAGAATCGTAACTTTCATTACTTTCATTTACTCTTATGTTTGCCATTACCTTTCAGAACTTAATTACGAACGTTTAGATTCACACAGAGAATCACCGAGAATGTTTACATCTAGTCCGTCTATTGGACGCGCGCAACGTTGAATCGTATTTCTACGCCGTATTTCTATCACGTGTTTCAAAGTCATATCACAGTACTTTTCAGGGACTTCATTAAAATATTTTTAAGATTGTAAATAATGCAAGAAAAAATTCGATTTTCTTAACTGTTACATCGGTCTGACTCCTTAATTAAATTACATCACATTACAACAATCGGAAAAGCTACTTCAAAAATCAAACAAATCCGATTGATGTACGTAGTTCCATTCGCGCGATTAGATTTGCACACATCGGCACGTATGAAAATGAGAAGCAGAATTAGTTTGGCAAATTGTTATTTCGAATAAATTCCGCCGCAAAGTTGGTACAACGGACGATTGATTATTGAACTCTACACAGAGTACGAACGAGTTCAGCTCGCAAAAAGAGCGTTCGTCGTGTCGACATCGTGCTGAATGATAAATTACTTGTATTATAGAGTACCAGCCGATTGCTCAGCGAATGGAGAAACAGCTAATCGCTTATATACGAAGGGGTTAACAACCGCATCAATTCATCGATCAAAATAATACCTCGCGCACGATTAATTATCGTTATTCTGGATGCGTAACATTACGCGGCGTTACGCATTATCAATTTTCGAACATCCTCTCGGAAAAGAAGAAAGCAAAAAATCGTCCGCGAACGTTCGATGCGTGAAAGGTAAAAAGCCCGTTTACTTATTACCATGAGCTCATCGACGACGAGAAACAAAAGAGAAATACGCTGCATGGTTTTCTAACAAGATTATAGAAAAATATAGGTTGCTGTCGCCGCTGTGCTGCTCCTCCTACTATAAACAACGTGCAATATGAAACGCTGCACAGCGGCGTATAATTATCGCGCATTCCGCAACTTGGCCAATTGCCATTTATCATCGCATTAAAATTACACGGGCCCGTACGTACAGCGGAATTTTCAGCCGGTGACATTAATCCTATTACTTAAGCCGGTACGCGCCGCGACTTTATTCGCGAATGCAATAATTAGCGAGGCTGCGAGCAACCTTTTGAACTGCGAAATTGGGACGGAAAATATTTGTAGTGCTCTAATTATAATAATAAAGACACAGCGACCGCCGCTTTACGCGAGAGAGAGAGAGAGAGAGAGAGAGAGAGCATAAATATTCATATTTAACTTCGTACCGGATCCCTGCAATTTTCTATGTCCGGCAAAATTTCCAGTTCCGCTGAACTGCTACCCGCTTCATTGGGTTGCGTCAATGGCTATGCTTTTCGTCTATCTTCGATTATCGCGGAAGAGAAGGAAGATCTCTCAAGGAGTTGGATGGCCTGAAATAAACGGCTTATTTAGGAAACTACAAAAGAAAAACCATCGACTTTTTATTATTATATTATTTGATTTATATTGAAGTAGCAAATAGCATTGTTGATATATTAATTTGTTGACTCTGTAAACGAAATGATTAATTAACCGATTCGTGTTATGTAAAATTTGAAATTTCAAAAAATTCGTCATTCAACAAGATATTGTTCAAAGCGCTACGTAAGGTTTTGAAAGAAATTCAAAAAGTGGCACGAGCTTGAAAAGGATTTATTAGAGTATTAGAGTTTCTTAAATGTACATAGTAAAAATTATATGTTACATTTCCTACATCCCAAACGGCCTATTCAAATTTTTGTGATAATCTAATACAGAGAATATATTGAAAATTATCATAAATATTATGTCAAAAATTAACACCACAAATATGTAACACTTTAATACTATTTGGAAGTATTCGGTCAAATATAACAAATATTATTATCGTACTAAAAAAAAATGGTTATTTATCACTTCTTTTTCATCGCTTTGTTCTTAGAATATCATGAATAGCTTTGCATGAAATCTCCTTAATTTATGCGCCATTTAATTGATTCAATCAATATTATGTTTGAAAATATATTACTGATGAGATTGGAAACTTGTTATTTTCCAAACGAGAGTATTGTAACTTTTGAATTCTCTTCAATGAATATAACGCTAAAAAGTCCGTTCTTATTTAATTCTCATATGATAGACATATTGCTTTCGACACATTACAATGTAGAAGTTGTTTGTGAAAGCAAGCAATTAAATACTCCGTACGTGCACGCTGTGTATAATTTGACCTTTTGGCTTTGAGATCATTTTAACTCATTTGACGGGCAAATCAATTGTATGTTACTTTTAAACACTTTAAATTATAATCTTATAAAAAGGAAATTCTCGATTTTTTGACGTTAACACACATAATATTGCTGCAAATCCGTAGCAAGATTTAATCCGATCGTAGAATTTAATGTTCTTGAAACGGTGCTATCTACGATAGCTTACAGTAAAAAAATATGAAACGGACCAATTAAAAGGGAGAAAGTTATATACTACTTTGTTCTGATTGGTAAGGCCGATGAAAGAAATGAAAATAATTTGTTTTATTTACGATCTTACGTTACGATCTTATGTTACTTCGGAAATGGACCACCGCGTCTTATAGCCATACTTTTACAGCCATTGTAGAACAACCTTTACAAAAGCTGCACGTTAGCTGGATGCAGACGTGGACGCTCGAAGTCGCGGATAAACGAGCGACGGTGTTCAACCGACCGAAAGTAACGAAAGCGACAAATTGCAATGAGGGAACTTTTTCGATTAAAGTCCCGCTTAGCTCGGCACGATCCGAAACCCTTTTTCGCTTGGTCAGGCGAGTTTCCACGTTGAGTACGACATGAGAAACGGCATAAATAAAAGGGCGTCTCCTCCTCGTGAGGTTTAGCAAAGGCGAAGACGCGGCTGTAAAAGGGGACGTCACCCTGAGCAAGGGAGCTGTCGCGTTAATCATTGTACCGTGTCGAGGCGAAGACGAAAGCCGCAATTGCGACGAACGTGATCGCGTCGTCGAAAGCCACAACGCTTTCGACCCGCAAGCGGAAAATCCCGGACAGTCGCCTTCCAATTAAACAAAGCAGCGTTACCGCAGCGTGAATTGGGGCCACAATTGGACCTCATTTCACGTCGAGATTGCCAATCTAAACGTGTTTCTTTATCGTGCACTTTTCCTCCGATACCTTTTGCGAACTTTTCAACAGTTGTTCCGGACATTAAGATAGTTGGTCCTATTTACTTAAAAAAAACCTTCTCAAATTTTAGCAGCGTATTAATACGTTGAAAGCTCTTGCAGGTTACGCCAGATATAGATCAAATCGCCGTAGAAACATGCGCGCACTTTTATTTCACGACGCTGCTGTCTGTTGCGTGGAAAAGAGACGCTAAAAATTCTCGCTGCGAAATATTTATCGAACGAACGAATTTACCACCCCCAGCCGTTAAATAGCGGACGCATAGCTTCATTGTCGCCGGAATCGCTGAGATGGATGAAATTCAAATAAATCTTGTAATCATTGAACCATCTCTATATTTCCTTCTTTCATACTTATTTGACTACACATCGTACACATTGCGTTCAATATGTCCAACTTTGAAATATATCGGAAATATGACAATTTTAAGAGAGACACACTTTGGCAAATAATTCAAATATAATTATACTTTGAAACAATTAATTGACTAAGATATAGACTCGGTGAAAATGAATACCTAGAGAACTATACGAAACATCGTATATCTTCTAAGCGATATAAAGGGATATATACGGTCAGCCAATTATTCCGTTTCTGCACTTTATTAACCACGATCTTTCCGCATTTATCGCTTCGTCGCGGCACACCTTTCGCGCATTTGTCATGAAACACCAATTCGGTCTTACTTCTTCCTACCGTCATTTCTCACAAAAATAAGAATGTCAAGCGCGCAATTTTCCACGAGATCTGCTTTGCAGCGCGCAGTCTTTTCTTCCTCGCGGAGCGGGATATATTTTTGTCGGCAATTAGCGCGCTTCGACGAATTCTCGTTGCCGCTATTCTTTCCGCCGAGAAAAATGCGGAAAAAGACAACGGTCTCTCTCGTGGCTGACCGTTCGCGAAAATTCGATATTTGCGACGAACAAGGATACGTGAAAAAGATCGATTCCGACCGAATTCAAATAATCACCGCATTTGCGCGAGTTTTTTCACTCCGACCGATAACGAACGGCGTAAAATCACGCGTATTTTTCCGTGTGAAATGTAATCCCACATAAGCAATACGATTACTAACGTATTCGCTCGTATTCGAAGGAATGAGCTCGCGAATTGTTAGCAGGGCTGAAATATTTAATTCCGCGCGACGTGGAAAAAGAAGGTGATCGGTCAGTATTATCAAGAAGGTTCGCTTGTGACAGTGAGCAAATATTTATTCGACGGTCGGAGCTTATTATTCGGTCCATTGTTTGCACGGAGTGATAATTTCGGCTCGATTTGCAATTAAGCTGCTTCCTCGCCTAAGAAAGTTGGCGTGAAAGTGCACGAATGCGGAACGATAAAAAAAGCGCGTGAAAGAAGGAAGCGGGTGGAAGAAGAAACGATTTAGCCGTGATGGAGTGTCGGCGATTAGTTAGGACAAAGAAGTAAGGGACAGAGAGGAACAAAATTGAAGAGTTCTCGTTAGCCTGCCTCAGGAGATTCTCTTTCCCTTCCGAGAGCGATTCTGTTCTGCTCTTAATTTCGCGCGAGTATCATCGTGACCGGTCGTATGCCCGTCGTAGATTATTAAATTGTCGCACGCATATATCTCAATATCGATATTTCTTCAATCCGGCGTTCGGAATTAATTGCACTTTCGAAACGAATGTGTTCGCAATTCAGCGTGAAACTATTTAATTTCCAGCGCGCCGCTATGATCACCGGAGATGCCTCAGTTTTGAGAGTATAACAGTGAAAGAGAGAGAGAGAAACGCGTGTATTCGCGTTACCTATGTGCACGTAATGTTGCCGCGTATGAAATCGTGCATGAGAAATTGTAGGGTGGCGAACTTTCGAAGCATTAAAATTTCAATGTCCCGCGCATGTTGTAGCGTGAAAACGGACCTAATGGAAGAGGGGGCCAATTCAACTCTCAGCATAGCTAAGGTTGGACCTACGGATAGCGGAAATTACACATGCCAGCTCACCACCATGCCGGACCAACCCGCCACGGTTCATGTACATGTTCTAAACGGTGAGGATGAAGATTTTTCTTTTACATCTCTCTATTGTGTGTACTTTTCACATAATGTCCCTCGCAAAAACACAGGGGTGTTACTCTCGAAATTTCCCAGAATGGAATTTCACTCGAAACAAGCAGTATTTTCACTAGAAGCAACGGTGAAAATACTGCCATTCGAAATTGCTAGAGCGAATGTTTCGCTTGAACTTAGAATGGATTCTGTGACGAGTGAATGTTCCAATCGATCAGAGCGAATTTTTTCCCGTGACGATGGGATATATCAGATTCACTCTTCAGTTTCGAGTGAAAACATCCACTGGACGATTCAGAGAATTCACTCTGTGTACGAATAAAATGTCACTTAAATCCGCTCAACTCGGCTGTCATTCTATTTTTCGGGAGAAATTTTATTCTAAAAAATTTAGAAAATAAGTCGAAACTATCGAAGTCATTGCCTGCATTGTTTCCTCCTTCTTCGATTGGCTGCTTTACACGTGTCGTTTTTCGGCTGTCTTAAAATTATTATGTGAATCTTGAAAGTTCATCAGTTTACGTGTTAAAGAAAATAAAAGATTAAAAATGACGTAAAAGAAAGAAATAGTCTGTTAGTCTGATAGAGAATTTTAGTCTGATGTTTATTTAATTCACGAACAGAGATATCTTCTGTATTATAATACGCGCAGTGTTGGTTTAGTGAGAAAATTCAAAGTTTGCAAAAACACGACAATCGCTCAGATTATAATAAAACGCGCGGAATCAACAACGTTGTCTTCTCAGTTTACAGTTTATTCGAGGATGTATCGAGACTACAGCTGCTTCCTTGTTTAACGGTAGCAATTCGAAATTTGCCGAGGAATATGTTTCTAAAATACCCGATACGTCTGAGCTCGGAGAACTTCGTCTCAAACGATTCGGTGGCGCTGACGGCGCTAACAAACAGACTGTTTCCCACAAGGGGGATCGTGTTGTGAATCTTAAGTAATTCAGGAATTCACAACATCCACCGATGCGTGATATTCGCTCTATTACGAAAGCTGCGTCCCGTAAGGTAATACTCTGTCCCCCCTTACACTTCAGCGGCTATTTATTACTAAAGTACGTACTCTCGAAGCATTTAATATTTATCTTAAACTATGCTCGCGCCTAAAAGTCTTCCGCTGTTTGACTCCTACGAGAAAGTCCGGCTTGGTGAACTTGTCGTAAAGAGTCGTCTTTTTCCTCCTGAAAACTCGACGCGACAGAACTCGAGCGAGCGAGTCGAACTGTTTTCTAACTGTGCGCGAACTTGGAGCGGTCGCTTTGATTTATAACGGGGCTAATCTCCGTCGAGTCTTCATCATCGTCCCTTACTCATGAGATCGAAAATATCGAAAAAGAAGAGATATTTTTGAAGAAGGAAAACATTTTTGAAAATAAAAAAGTCCGAACACATCTGCGGCGTTTTCGCAAGTTTTCCCGAAAATGCAAAAGTATCGTAACGTCGTAACGGGAACATTTTTACCTCGCTTAGGTATCTCTCACAGAGAGATATTTCGCGTGATAGAACCGTCGATGACGTCCCCTAATGAAGCTCGCTCCTCCCGCGCGAAAATTCATTCATAAATTCAGACGTTTCTCTCGGTGTACGTCTTCCACCAGAATTGTACGCCGCGGAATTCACGGTCCCTCAGGAACACCTCGTATACAAAGTGACTCGCGCAAACGTCATCTCGATTATCCTACCTCCCTGTATAGCTTAATACACACGTCCTTCGTCGAATTACATGTTTCCCGATATTTGCATCGTGTCGCTCAGGCGTGCGTTATAATTGACGTTCGACAACTCCGTCGTGTTGCACCTCCTTAGATGCACGCAGAAAATTTCTCTCAAATTATTACACATCTATTAACGGGAAATAATCCCTTTAATATATTACACATATAAAGTTGTAAAAGAGATTAAAATACGATACTAAATATAATAGAAAGTATGATATAGGGAAAAGAAACGAGAAAACTATATCGAGAACTGAAGTTCAGGTGATTATATAACGATGATCGTCTTTCTTGAAGGGAAGCAATGACATGATAGAAAGCAATATCGATAATACTACTAAGATAATAATATGCAAGTAAGGATAAGCGATTCAAAAGTTGAAAAGCAAGAGATTCGATGAAAAGGTGGATAATTGATAATAAAGGCTAGTCGCGAGCGTTTCCTTGTGAGTGTACGTAACGCTGTTTCAGGAGAAAGCTTAGCGGAGCTACATCACAGCGACGCTCGAACGAGTGCTGCCGTTAGCCTACCGTTGCTCTTCCTGGCCGTCGTTCTGCAGGTTCGATTGGTGCTCAGATGAAGACTTGACTGGCTACTTTGGCTTGCACGAGAGCCTCCGGTTTGGCATCGCGACGCCGGACGAGACGCTGCCACCGCATGGACTTTTCTATCACCGTGACTAGAGCGGACACGAGGGCCAAAGAGGAAGTGTGTGTGTGTGTATGTGTGTGTGTGTGTGTGTGTTACGTTACATATTGCGTTGATATAAGAAGCGTAGACGGGACAGAGGCGGTTGGCTGCGTTGTCATAAAACGTTATATTCTAAACGCGATTACGGGTCACACACGTTCGATGCTCGAGAGAAAGAGAAAGGGGAAAACGCATTACGAAAGAATATCTTCGTTCATTCTCAACGCGATTCCACTCGAAAGACTGTTTTTCATAAAAGAGTCGACGATGAATTAACTCGTAACTCTAGATCAGAATTGATAATTTCATACCTATTGACATTAAAAAGAAAAAAGCCCTTTACAACAGAAGCAATTCAATTCATTAACGACAGGTTCTTATTTTCAGGGGCGATTTACACGCGTGTAAACGACGCGCAAGACCGTTCGATTGTCTCAAGTACATACGCCGTTCAAGCAGATATGCTCATCATCGAGCAAATTATTCGGTCATCTCGGAACGATACGACAACGTTGTTAATATCGATCGCTCTCTCTCTCTCTCTCTCTCTCGTCTAGTTATCCCAGCGGCGCGATTCCAGCTCTCGCGTGTAAAAACGAAAATCCAAGCCACGGTAAGAGCATAAATCTGTGTGTATGAAATAACCAATAACTGGTAAACAATAAAGATCCGGAGGCGCGAACTGCTGACCGAGATATTGGAGTGGCTGGTATCGCGTATCACTATGGCTGTGATAATCGAGACAAATTGCGCCGTTCAATTCGACCCCCCATCTATCACAATTCACGCCATTAATATCTCGCAATTTTCCAAGCGTTCGCTTGCTCGTCGTCGAGGCGTTTTTAACATACACAACGCGAGGAGGAGGATTCGCGAATTTCCCGATAACACACACAGGAGATCTTATCATCGCGTCCATACATTACCGATAATGCATAAGCAATCGATTTGCGCGACGGAAGGCGTCGATCATCGAACGTCGCCGTAAACTGTCACCTGTCAATCACGACTGTCTCTCGAGTATCGCGAGATTGTTGCGAACGGTTTCAATTAGCGGACAATTAAGGGTAGCAATATATCAAAATATAGCGCGACCGACACATGTATAATCTATCAATTAGATTGCGATGATTTTTAACTTGGGGAATGCAGGAGAGAAGATTAGAGTGACTACTCACGCTGATATCAATTCTCTCGGGCTGCCCTTTCGTGTGACAGGTTGTTAATATTTGTATAAGTTTCATTCAAAGAACATCCAGACGCTGTCTTTCAGCATCGAGACGTCATTTCATTCACGCGAAAATCGCGCTTCATATCGTATCATTTCGGAGGAATAAGGAAATTTTTATCGCACGGCTCGTCAAGACAGACCCGGGGTCTGAATGTACGTTGCGGAGATACGCTTGTCTTTCATGCAGCCAACCAAATCTCCCGAGACTTCACGGATCACGTGCTATAATACATAAATTTCAAAGTGAATCTAATGTTCCCGCGAGGAAAAGCAAAATCACGAAATATACGATATGCATTTTACAAGATTTTTTGTTTCGTTTTGTGTCTCATGTCACTGATTTCAGGAACAGTAAAAGAACGATTATCGTACGCATTCATTCAGGTAAGTTTACCGAAATAGTTTGTTTTCACGAGCACAATTATACAGATTTAAAAATACAAAATTATATTTTTCTTATAGAGAACTTCTCAGTGAAACAAAATATGTGATAATAGAATTATTGTTTCCGTACAATTAAAACAGATAGAAACACATAATAATGAGAAAATTAATCATTCAATTAATGTTTCCATGGAAATGCATAATAACACGATCATTATATTAATAACAAAATTGAAAACATATGAAAAATAGAATAATAATAATAACAAATGGCTCACTGGAGTGCCATAATCCCACGTAGTGTTCATCAATTGAAAACTTCCCGTAAATTTCTCGTATGGCCCACCTTGACATGTAATTGTTCGCTTCGTGAACTCTTCCCCAAGTCGACATTTTTGTTCTAGCACCATATTACATAAATTAACATAAATAACAAGGATATCGTTATAATCGTTAGACTCATTGCTTGCCGTCCGATCATCATCGAAGTTAAGCAACATTGAGCGCAGTTACGATGGGGACGACCCAGCCGCCGGTAATTTTCGCATGCATACTGACTGCTCGTAAAAAGCTCCACGAAGATTTGTGTCCGAACGCTCCAAGTGGGCCATCAGCTTCCAGCAAGGTGTACACGGTCGTTATGGTTCGAATACTCGCCGAAAATTTCATTTTCGACTGCTTTCGATTTTGCATAACTTGCAGAACTTTCGAAAATATTATCTTTGTATTTAGACGTCATGCTGAAATAAGAACTAGCAAAAAGAAGTACAATTCTTAAACATTCTTTTCTAGTTTTTGATACAATGTCGACTAGCCTGCGTTACATTATCATTATGCAAAAGGATTTAAAATTCTATGTAGACAAAAACGAGAATAGTTCTCGTTTCCGACATCCCTTTAAAACCCGGCTTTTTAACCTGTCTACTTGGTCCGCTCATGACAAAAATATCGAGATGCGTATTCTCTCTGCAATCACTCCCGGACGAAGTTCTCAATTAACTCACGGACTATATCGACAACTATATCAACAACAGAGATGTCGTTAATCGTCGTTAGTTACAATTTCGGAAACCGCCTAACGGTTCTTCGAAACACCTCCGCGAGTTTCGCTTCGTGGATCGAGACCGATGTCTCGGCAATACTCTCGTTGCGACTCGAATCTATTTCCTTCGTATCGAATGTGTCGCGCATCACGTATTTGTTTTAGGTGAACAATTTCGTCGTACTTTACGGAACGACTTACTCGCACCGATTCGACAAAAATCGGTGTACCGATTTTGTTGCGCCGCACGTAACCGAGTAAAGGATCGTTGCCGCAAAATCGTGCGAGAAGTTTTGTAGCCCGGAATTAGAATTCCGCACGTAGAGCTGACGGCGGTATCATCCAGTTTGTATCGCGTGTCTGACTCACAAACGAAGCGTTTTCCTCTGCCCGACAACAAGTGAAACATATATAGCGGAGCTCGAGCTTCAAAGCTGTAGGGATATAAGACAGACTTATAATAGAACCTCCTCTCCAATAGCGCCGGGACTGTCTAATCTTCGCACACTTCGAACGTTTGTGTATGCTCGCAGAATTCTATTGAGAAGCATTAATGCGACTCTGCGCAATAATCTATAGAGGAGATTCTAACAAAGTTAGAATATAAAACTTGAGGGGTGCGAAAAACTTTGCCGGCAAAATATCAACTTCTTCGCAACGCAAAATTTACGTAATATTGGCTGCGCTTCTACACGGCCGCTTCTCTGCTACGTGCAAAAATGAGCATCACTTAGTATGTGATGAAAACGATTAGGAATTTCAGAATTAACATCTTCAACATAAATATTTGCTTAATAAAAAAATGTTGCAGCTTGTATGTACCAATGTATGTATGTTTACTGCAATCAAGGAAATGTGTCAAAGAACATTTCTGTAGCTTTACATTTAGAATGAAAAACCTAAGATACGAAAAGATACGAAAAGTTTGTAAATAATTTTTATACATCTCTGAAGTAATTAAAAGATTAAGTAAATTACTTGAATGAAATTACTTTTTTTCTTCCAGTGTATTACACTCAAATAACATTTACTTGATCCAAATAAAATACTCGTTAATAAATATTCACTCGAACGTAACATTTTTTTTTTTAAAGAGTATAAAGGTTTACCTACGATTTGATATTATTTCAATTAAATTCATTATCATCAAATTAATTCAATTAAATTAATATTATTAAATCAAATTAATAGAATGTATTCATTTTTACAGTAAGATATTCATTAGATGTCCTAAAAGAACAGTCATACGTAAAAACATAGTTTTCAAGATTTTTCCACCTCCACTATGTGACATCCGCAAGCTACCGCGAGAATTCTCACGAGATTATTTAAATTGTAACGCGCAAAGACCTCGTTCGATTTCTAGCGACGGAACGACAGGCAAAAAAACGAGGCACGCGCCGCGGGAGATTTCAAATCACATACTGTGATACATAAATCTAAAGCGAATCCAAAGTATTCGCGAGGGAAGGGCGAGTACGTACGTTCGTCCATTCGTTCGTTCACTTAATCACGAGCGCGCTAAATTCGAGCGAAACTTGGCGCGCTCGAGGATTCTTGTAAAAGAGAGCAGCGCGGTTAAGTAAATGGCTCGCGAGAGAACGAGGCGAGTGAAACACGGCGGTGACGTTCGCGTTTTATGGAAAAGATATGACACCGGCCGGTTCCCTGACGAAATAATATTATATTCCCCCACCACCGCACGATTGTGAAAAACAAACAACCGTGCGTTATGTTTGATCAGCCGGTAAAGTTCGGGCGGCCAACTACGAAAAACCAGGTAAGACACTCTCTGTTGCCATCCTCCTGGAAACTTATCGTCGTCGAAAGAACCTCTCTCTCCGTTCTCGCTGCGAAATACGCGCGGTAACGTGCGGGAATGCACGCAGGAAATAGCTCGGGCGCGCCGACTGATTCGGCTTCATCGATCTCTCCTCGTTGGACCTCCAGGAACTCTATTTATCCGCGCGCGCGATACCACCGACGCTCGTGGAACGAGAGATTCTCCGTCGAGGATACCCGGTTCTCGCAACGTTTTCCCTCTCGATGGCTCGCACGCATTTGACAATTTTCCATAGACGCTATGCAAATTTCCCCGATACCGGGGGTATTCCGGGGTAAAATAAACACGATAACATTCGTCCTTGCGATGAAAACTACCGTGGTTTCACACCGGTCAAATTGTAAATCAACGTCTGTGTTATTCGTATGGAAATTACCGGAGGATTAATAGAAACCGCCGTTTAAATTGATATTAACTGGAATAGCATTCTGATATATCCCGTGTCGCAGACAGCCGGATTTTATTCGTTCGTAAGAACGCGCGGAACAATTCTAGATATGCAGAGAAATGACATTGAGTCTGATATGTCAAAAATCTTGTTTGCACTAAAAAGAACTATCGTTGAAGTAATATTTACCTGATTAAACCTTTCGCCTTATTAAAGTATTTGAGATAAGTCTATCTTATATTAAAATTGAAAGATTCGGTATATCTTCGAAATAGAAATAAATAAATGCAAAAAGTAATGGAATAATTAGAAATAATAGATAATAATATTTTAAATAAGTGAATTATAAGTTAACAACATACCTTGCGTTTGCTAATCTGCACTGTTTTAATATAAATTAGACTCGTCACTTTAGCAAAGCGAAAAGTTACACAAAATGCATCCAATGTGTATATATATTTTATATGATAATAAATAATAAAAATAAATATGCGTTGCCACGAGAGAGGAACGATCGGAAATGCATCTCTAGTTATAATGGTAAGGCATACATGATGCAGTGTTTACATCACATGTTCGTAATCAGTCGTGATTGTCAGATACAATAATGCCTATGTAATTCAGATAGCTAATCAAATCGATCTTCCGACGTTTCTCTATATCCAAAACTTTAACCATCTCCCCGTCTAATAGGACAGTGTCGCGTCAAGATTTGTCGCGCGTTCTTATTAATTCCGAGCAGCCTGTTACGGAGGACGCCGCAGTGAAAGTAGAACAAAGGGAAGAAAGGCGAGAATCAGGTATACGGTTATCCAACGTCTTGAAACTTTTATCAAATAGGTGTCTTTACCCTCCCCTAGGGTGAGGTTCCGCAACGTGGATAACGTTTGTAACTTTTCGCATTCGCTTTGAGAGAACGGCCGGATTTCCCAGCTTCCCGGCCACGCAGCAAAATATTCAATGCACAATAGCGTCGTAGTGGGTACTCGCGTAACTCGATTCTCATGCATTTTTCACGCGGCGCGTGTCTACGGCTTAGTACCGCGCGAGTCGTTTGCATGGAAAACACGCTAAGAAAAAAAACCGATATATATTTTTTTTCTCTTTCGAGGAGGCTACTATTTGTCTTTGACGTACGTCCTGAAGCTGCACTGAGAACGTATGCCCACTGCAAGAGAGAGAGAGAGAGAGAAGAAACAGCGTCCTTTCGCTGAGTGTCGTCATCATATTTTTTCGACAGAAAGCTATTATTGGACGAGTGAATATCGGCGGAATAGAGGAGATCGACCTGCAACCACAGCGTTCTTATAAGCTGCTAGCTTATAAGAGGTGCTACGGGGTGCATTCATCCAACCTCGATGTAATCGCGTGCCTGTCCGTTCTGCGTGCTGCACGCTTTCGCGTCTAATGCATCAGCAGGCGGGAGTTCGACAGTCTTCCTCTGTACCAGCCTCCGACCCGGATAAGGGTTTTACAATTAAATCCCAATAGGTAGGTAACGTTCGCATAAAGAGAATTTTACGATTAATTTATTCAATGACTATATTTACAGCGGTACGAGTTTCTATCGGTTCACGCCCAGGCAATTTATCGTACATTACAGCGTGAAGTATATTTACGACCGAATTAGACTTACCGGAGGGTA